TGTTTTGGAATTCCTAATACTAGCGGGAGATCATCTGTACAGAATGGATTATGAAAAGTTCATTCAAGCACATAGAGAAGCAGGTGCTGATATTACTGTTGCTGCACTTCCGATGGATGAAAAGCGTGCATCTTCATTTGGTCTAATGAAGATTGATGAAGAAGGACGCATCATTGAGTTTGCTGAAAAACCAGACGGAGAGCAATTGAAAGAAATGAAGGTACATGCTACAATAGTCCTTTTTGCATATTTTTCAACAAACACACATTGTATATATGAACAAAGACAGATATCTCGTTTCTTGGAAGAATGTAATTTGTATTTGGTGAATTTAGGTGGATACTACTATTTTAGGCCTGGATGATGAACGAGCTAAAGAGAACCCTTATATTGCAAGTATGGGTATATATGTTATTAGCAAAGATGTGATGATAAACCTACTTCGGCAAAGCTTTCCTGCAGCTAATGACTTTGGTAGTGAAGTTATTCCTGGTGCAACTTCCATTGGAATGCGAGTATGTAAAATTATTCATCTATTTACCATTTATAGTTCTAAAATCACAAAACTAGAAGAAATATACTTTTTGTTTCATGAGAATGGTATGAAACTTTACTTCCACACTATTCTATTGGTTATGATTGTTGTCATACCCATGTCGAACTTTCCAAAATGTACTATTTTTGGAGTATCTCGTATGGCATCTATCGATATTTTTGAAGAGTCTGAGCAACATAAGTTATAGGCCTTAGTGTGACTATCTTCAAGTTTTTACTTTTTTCTGCTGAATATAATTTTTGCTTAGTTTTACTTGTGACTATCTTCTAGTTTTAACTTTTTTCTGTTGAATATGATTTTTGCTTAGTTTTACTTCTAGATATAGATGTATTAATAGTCTAAGTTCAGGTGCAAGCTTATTTATTTGATGGCTACTGGGAGGATATTGGTACCATTGAAGCTTTCTACAATGCTAATTTGGGCATTACAAAAAAGCCAGTGCCAGATTTTAGGTAATGTGAACTGATACTTCTCTCCACTTATTTACGATTGTTTATTGTTCAACTCTAATAGTATACACTAATATTGTTATCTTCAATATTCTCTTAAGTTTCTATGACCGTTCAGCTCCAATCTACACCCAACCTCGATATTTGCCTCCTTCAAAGATGCTTGATGCTGATATAACAGATAGCGTCATTGGTGAAGGTTGTGTCACCAAGGTAATTAATTACTAACTGTTTCTCACCAACATTGTCTTCTAATTTTCATATTTTTGGAATTGGTTAATCAGTACATATTTGTCACATTAGGTTCTCATGAAGTTACTTTATTGTGTACAGAACTGTAAAATTCATCATTCTGTGATTGGACTCAGATCATGCATTTCAGAAGGAACAATTATCGAAGACACTCTTTTAATGGGAGCAGATTATTATGAAGTAATAGTTGAAATTTACAAACTATATGACTATTAGACTTACTTTGTATATACGCCAGATATCATATACTATTTGTTTTGATTTGTCGTTAAACTCGGTTTGCTTCCTTTGTTGTTCCAGACAAATGATGACAAATTGCTTCTGTATGCAAAGGGTAGTGTTCCAATTGGCATCGGCAAGAACTGTCACATAAAAAAAGCTATTATTGATAAGAATGCTCGTATAGGAGACAATGTGAAGGTTGGTTACTTGATCAATTATTCTTATTACCACTCAATTTTTATTATATATGTTTGATGAAAATCTCATTCTTCTAACTTCTGCTGACTTCTCTTGTCATCACATAAATTAGCTGTGAGGTAGTCTCTAACATGGAAATTTTGTGTCGTCAGATCATCAATATTGACAATATTCAAGAAGCAGCGAGGGAGTCAGACGGATACTTTATTAAGAGCGGAATTGTTACCGTTATTAGGGATGCAGTAATTCCCAATGGTACCATCATCTAAGATGGTGAAACTTAGTTTCCTTTATTTTTTAATTTATCCTGCCAAACAACAATGAGTTAAAAGGAACTTCTGAGTGATCGTCAATGAACCTGGAATATAATTTGAATGTTTACTAAAAAAATATGAATTATTCTGTTCGTTCGTGTTAGTATATTATGCGTTTCCCTCTATCATTATCCATATACATAATAGTAAGACGGGAGGAGAGATTTTTCAATTATCAGAAGTTGAACTCGAGATCTCTAATCCATGACCTAGTTAAAGTTTACTTTCATTGCTTCATATTTGAAATCTCATAAAGTCTATTCTTTTAAGTCCACAACAAAATAGAGATTCATCACATGGTCATTCACATTCGCAGCCATAAACATATACACATAATATATTTTAATACTCATGTGAAAGAAATTTTAGTATGAATTCCGAATTTAAAGTTTAGTTTCATAAGAAGAGAGATAAAAGAGTAATGATAAAAAAAGGAAGAGATGTAACACAAAGAATATTCTTGGTGCTTCACAACAAGAATTAATTCATGGACAACACAAAGAAAAACATAGCTAACATATATAGCACATCTAGTAGTGCCTTTGTAGATAGACATGCTTAATTTTCTCCTCTTTCCCCCCAAAAATATATAAACTTGATTACATTTTTATAGCAAGTTTTGACACAAAATTTATTCATATCATATGTTTATATTAAATTAATAATATAAGAAAAAACAAATATTTTTTCAAGTTCAAGAATATTTTTGATTCTTTGTTTTTATAGCAAGTCTACATGGATGGAATCAGCTCAAGCATAGATTTTTTTGTTTTAGTTGAAAATGAATAAATCTTGTATTAATTATCTACGAAATCATTATTAATTCATAATTTAATATTTGGCGGAATTTAACATGGATACTGTTAAGAGAAATCAAAAGAAAAAACTAAATATTGGTTTTTAAAAATGACTTAAATATGTTATTTAACTTTGAAAAAAAAAGTCATCAATGCATGTAATTAGTTAAAAGTTTGGTTCATTTCTGTCATTTTCATTTAAGAATAAGCTCATCCATGTCATCGTTTGTTAACTTAAATGACATAAATGAGCAAACTTTTAACGCATTACATAAATAAGATTTTTCTCAAAGTTTGGATATATTTGCGTCTTTTTCCTTTTAAAATGATTTAATTAATTGACCATGTGTAAGAAATGATTTTGCTAAATCGGAAGTATTTTCAATTAACAAATAATGACATAGATGAGCCTTTTTTAAAGCAAAAATGACATAGTTAAATTAAACTTTTAGCAGATGACATAATGAGTTTTTTCTCAAAAATAGATAACATATTTGAGCCATTTTCAAAAAAAATTATGGGACGTCCTATTTTAGTCCACCCCATTAATGTAATATCCATTTTATGTTTTTTTGCTTGCACGAATATTCAATATCAGACAACTCGTAGGCGAAAGAATATAAGGACGATAGATTCGAATCTATACGATAAAGTAAAGGGAAAATTATATATAATTACCAACTAATAAATCAAATTAAATGCTATAATCACAATTTGATTTAATTGTGCCCTGTAGCAAACTGTTTGTCAATCATCTCTCTCCCTCAAACTCTCGCTCGCCACTCTCCTTCTCTCACTCCATCACTCGCTCGCTCCCTCTCTTTTATACAAACACAAGTGTATAAAATGTGTTTCTATTCATATAAAACGAGGAAAAATTGTATATGTACATATATTTTCGTTCCCCTCTCCCAGATCTCGTTCATCACGCTCTCAGATCTCACTCACCACCCTTGCCTCTATCGCTTATACAAACAGAAACGGCATGTATAAATTGTTTCTATTTGTATAAAGCGAGAGAAAATTGTTTATACACTTGCAAATACATATATATTCGTCCTATACACTTATAGTTATACAATACAAATATTTCCCTGCCTGATTTTTTTTGTCTTTCTCTCTTTCTCGTTTTATACATACACAAATTACACAATTGATTTGTATACAACTACTTTCTTTTGCATATGTATAGCGAATGATACAACTGGTTTCTTTGTATATGTACAGTGAATTATACATATTTGTGTTTGCTATGGAGCGCAATTATGCAAACTTTACTATAGCATATAAATATAAATTTTGTATTTGCTATATGTGAAATTGCTCTATAACTAAATTAGTATACAACAAAAATAGTTGTATTTTTAATGCATAAAAAATAGTAAAAAGTGATAGAAAATATATACTATTATACATTATGATACACTCACAAAGCCGAATATAACTTACTTATACATAAATTATATGTATTATAATATATTCAAAAAGCTGAATATATACAGCTTAATTATCAATTACATAAAAAATATTATTAGCGGCAATTAAGAGTTAATTACAGTTAAATATGAATTTTGAGCGGTAATTAGCACTTTTTGTACATCTCCCTAAATCCTTTAGCGACATTGTTTCTAAAGACAATTAACTAATGCCGGTAAAGACTTTAGCACTCTTTATTAATGTTAATATTTATTGCGGCTAAAAATTATTTTTATTATAGTGATACATAAATTATATACTGATTATACATAAATTATACACCGACTATTCAATCCTCCCAACTTAATATTGCTATAGTGAATATTATGCTATACAAATTTGTGTATTAGATGAGCTTTAGTATAAGTACCATCTCCTTACACATTACCATGAATTTGTAGAGTATTCTATCTAGATTCAACTATATATATTTCTTAAAGATTATCTTCAATAAACCCACTTCAGTAGCAGTATATACATATTTTTTTTCCCCTTCCATTCTCATTTCAAACAACACTCGGAACTTTGTTATACCTTTAATTTGTCAAGAAATTTTCCTAATATTTCAGAGATTTAGCTAATATTTTAGTAGCAATTTATGTTTGTCAATACATTTTTGATAACAAAATCCAAGATAGTGTTTTACAACAAATAACTATGCTTTTGTAAACTTGAAAAATAACTAACGAATATAAATAAATATAAGATCTTTGAGTATTGTTGTCTTAGTATTGCTCAAAGGCCTCATTTGTACCGAATGGATTATGAGAAGTTCATTCTATCCCATAAAGAAGCTAAGGCTGATATTATCGTTGGCGTTGCTACACTTTTGATGGATGAAAAGTGTATATATATAGCATGTTACCTGCATTGCTTTGGTTGCTTTTATATTGATTTATCTGCAAATTTAATAAAAGATCTTTCTTCGTTTGGTCTAACGAAGATTGATGAAGAATTATATATGATCTGAATTTGCAGAGAACCAATATAGAAGCAATCGAAAGCAACTCAGGTAATATGTTATAGTCCTTTTGCATACTTCTCATAATTGATGGTATAGACAACTCGTTCCCAAAAAATTTAATCTGTGTTTGTTGCATTTCAGGTGGATACTACTATTTTAGGTCTGGACAACGACATAGCTCAAGAGAACCTTTAAGACTTTGGTTGTGAAGTTATTTCGGTGAAACTTCCGTTGGAATGCGAGTAGGTAGATTGTTCAATTATTAACATTTACAATTTTCATGTCACACTCCAAAATGTATTACTTTTGGAGTATCTGACATGCATTCGTCGTCATTTTTAAACTTTGTGGGCAACATTGATTACAGGTCTTGGCTAGCTTCTTGTTTAAACTTTTTTTGTACTGAATATGTTTTTTGCTTAGTATTATTACTAGTAGAGGTATTACTAGTCGGAGTTCAGGTGGAAGCTAATTTATTTGATTACTACTGGAGGATATTGATACAATTGAAGCTTTATACCGTGCCAATTTGGGCATTACGGAAAAGTCAGTATCAAATTATAGCTACTACCAACTAATAGTTTCTGCATTTAATTACGATAGTCTGTTATTGTGCTATGGTTATAGCACTAATATTATTGACATAAATTTTCCTGAAGCATCATTTTATTGGAATTAATGCATTCACATCCAAAATGATGACAAAATGTTTCTGTATTCAAAGGGTAGTGTTCCAATTGATATCGACAAGAATTGTCACATAAAAAGAGCTATTATCGACAAGAATGCTCATATACGCACAATGTGAAGGTTGGCTACCAAAAGTTTTCTAACTTCTAGGCAACATATAGTCGTAAATGTCCTGACTTCTCTTGTCAGTGTATTTTTTTCCTTCTTATTTTTGACAATACACATGAGCTTGAGATCGAGTCTCTGGCACGAAATTTTTGTATCGTCAGATTATTAACATTGACAATATTCAAGACGTAGCAAGGGATTCAAACGGATATTTTATTAAGAGCGGAATTGCTACTGTTATCAAGGGAACAATAATTCAAGTGATACCATCATCTAAATTTTTATTTATTTTGCCAAACAACCATGAGTTAAAAAGGATTTCTGCACTCGTTCAACCTGACCTTTTGAGTTTCTTGGTAACAAGTCAATGAACCAAGAAAATTGCTTTGTGTTCTTGAAAGTTGAATATAATTATGTTAGCTCCAGAAAAATATGAAGTACTACATCCTTTTATTTTCTCTGTTCATGTTCGTAATATACGTTCCCTCTATGGTTATCCATATAACAAGACGGAGGGCGTTCCCACTCAGGAATTTTTCTATTATCATAATTTGAACTCGAGATCACTAATCATGGGAAAGACAAGCCTAGTTAACGCTTACTTTCATTGCTTCATATTTGAAATTTCATAAACACAAATAAAATCAAACAAAGTATATTTTAAGTCCACAACAAAATAGAGATTCATCACTAGTGATGTACATGGTCATTCACATTTGCTGCCGGGGAAGGATAGCCCCCACGGGGCGATGCCCTGGTGCTCCGGCGGTGGCTGCTGCTCTGGTAATCCATCCTTTGTGTTGCTGCCATTATAATTTCAACACATCAAAATGGTATTAAAAAACATATATATGATATACATACTATAGTTTAATACTCACGTGAAGAAATTATGGTACGAGATCACTGAAAGATTCAGAATTTGAAGTTTAGTTTCATGTGAAGAATTTATGGTACGAGATCACTGACAGATTTAGGATTTGAAGTTTAGTTTCAAACGGAGAGAGATCAAGAGTAATGATTTAAAAAAAAGAAGGGGGAAGAGATATAACACCTTGAGTACTTGTAGAGAAGGCTAATAATATTCTTGTTGCTTCACCATATTCACACCAAGAATTCATGGACAACACAAAGAAAACCATCACTAACAAAACACATGTTGTGCCTTTGTTGATAGACATGCTTAATTTCCTCCTCTTCCTTACAAAAACTATATAAACTTGGCCTCCAAATGAGTTCTCTTTATAGCAAGCTTATTCACATTAGGGGTTTGCGTCAAATTAATGAATATAATAATCAGTTACATAGATAGAAGTGGACTCATACTTGCTTATGCCACATGGCGTATACTTCTTTCGTCCCATTTTTTGTCAAAGTATTTTTTTTATAATCGTAACACTCAAGCCAGCTTTCACATATCTCATGTTACCTCCCATCAGCAATAACTAACAGATAACTCGATCCACCAAAGCAAGAAAGAGATTTAAATAACCACCCTACCTAGTGTAATGTCAAAGCCTTTGACTTTGATACGAAAAATTAGAAATCATTTTTCTCATTTTTAAAAATCGATTGAGTTATTTTTCCTTTGAATACACCCTAAAAGTCAATCTTTTCTGCTTTTTCTTTTCTTCGTTTCCCCTTCTTTTTCTTTGTTAAGGAACCCACGATTGTGACTAATGGAATACATAATATTCTATCCTAAATTGAGTCTGAAAATTTGACCTAGTTTAGTTACTTTTTTTTTTTCATTTGAAAAGTCTACTAACTTATGCTACATAGTGTTATTTTTAGTTTTCATTTTAAAAAAAATTGAGTTACATACGTTGTGAAAATAAAAATATATTGTCTGATCTCCTAAATGCATTTACAACCAAACATCTTTAAAATATATGGTTTATAATTTTGAAAATTAAACAATTACCTTTTATAACGAATAAAGATGATTTGACAATACAATAACTTACTCTCTATCTTGGTTTTATTGTATTTAATCACTATATTATTCTGAGATAAGTGTCAAAAAACACATCTAAACTATATATTTTTTTTTAATTTCATATCTAAACTATTGAAAGTTTAAGTTTCATACCTAAATTATTACTTTTTAGTTTGAGAAACACACCTCTCTCTTTTATACCACTCTCATATGGTATGTGTAATACACACTCTCTTTTATTTTAAAGAATTTTCACATCACACTCTGTATGGACAAAATATTCAACCTTGACAAAAAATAAAAAAAATTATTAGTATAGTTAAAATTAAAAATTAAAAAACTATTATAAAAAAATAATATTTTCTATATAAAATAAAATATAAAATATTTTTCTTATCCCACACCATTTTTTAAAGTTTTTTATTTTGTTTAAATTTCTTTTATAAAAGTATTTCATTTTTTACTTCATCTCCCCCCCCCCCCCCCCCCCCAATCAAATACTAATTTAGATATTATTTTATTTTCTTAAAAATAGAACTCTACCCATCCCACTTAACCCTTCGCTTTCAATTTTTTTCCCAGTGTTTAGATATACATATCGAAAATATTTTTTACTTGCACCACAAGACTTTTTATATTTTGTTAGTTGTTTATGTTATATTCGGTACACTAGTAGAATTTTTTTCTAAAAATATATGTACGTGCGTATCAAACACAAAATAAGAAAAACGTAAAAAAATATAAATTAGGAGTGAAAAATTAAATAGGATGAGGTAGATTTTTTAAATAAAATAATATCAATTTCTATCGGGGGGGGGGATGAAATATGAAAATTTTAAAATATTTTATAAATGACTTTTTTTATTAAAAAAAAGGATGGGGTTGTCGCGGGGGAGGGGGGTACGTGGAGGTGGTGGTGGAGTGAGATAAGAAAAATAAATAAATTTTTTAAATGGATAGTAATCTTTAATTTTTAATTAATATTAATTTTTTATTATTTAATTTTTATCTAGATAAAATATTTTATCTATGTGGAATGTCATGTGTCAAAGTTTTTTCATATAAAAGAGAGAGTGCACTACACAGACAACTGAGGTGTGTTTCTGAAATTAAAAAGTGATAGTTATATATGAAACTCACACTTTCTATAGTTTAGGTATGAAACTAAAAAAGAGTGAATAGTTTATGTGTGTTTTTGACACTTATCTCTATTATTAATTTTCATAAAAGATATTTAACCCGTTAGAATAGATATTAAAAAGGATGTTGAGATTTTTAAGTGCTTGTTTGATTGGAAATAAATTATTTCGAAATTAATTATTTTGTTATTAGCTATTTCAAGATTAATGTTATTCTACTCTTAATGTGACATAAAAATAACATTACATCAATTTCGAGATAATTAATTTCAAGATTTTATTCTGATAAAACATATTTTTTCTGTCCCTATTTAGTTGTCCACTTTAGAAATGACACACATATTAAGATAACAATAATTAGTATAGTGAAATTATAATATTATCCTTATTAATTATGGTTTCAAAAGTGATGGATTAAAACTTGGAAATTTCCAAGAAGTTTAAAAGAGGGTATAATAGGAAAACTTTTTTTGTCCTTTCTTGATTTGTCAAAATGGACAAGTAAATAGGGACAACTAAAAAATGAAATATGGACAAATAAATAGGGACAGAGAAATTATGTTATAACTTGAAGAAAAAAATATTTAAAAGTTGAAATTATATTTAGATATGCATTTAATTTGAAAAAAAGAAGAAAGAAGAAGACATTTTTTGTGGAAAAACACACAAAATAGGAATTTAGATAGTTTTTAGAGTCTATTTTGGACATTTATAGGAGCAGCAAATTAATAGGAATTTAGATAGTTTTTTTAATTTTTTGTATGCTATCCTATATTCATGAAATGACTTTCGAACAATTTTTTTGTGATACCGTGAATGAACCCCCCATAGGGAGTTGGGGGAGTTGTGCAAACAATCACATAATTTCTATAGTCCTTTTTGGGCAATTAGGGCCAACTTATAGAAATTAGCTGATTTTTTTAATATTTCGTGTGTGTTAGCTTATGAATATTTTAATGATATGTCTTGTGGACAATTTTTGAAAGAACCTTCACAAAACCCTCCGTAAAGAGTTGAGAGACCAGTATGTACAGTCTCACAATTTTTAGAGTTTATTTTAGACATTTAAGAACAAATTTATAATAATTAGGGGATTTTCTTATTTTTGTGTGTGTTACCCCATGAAAATTTTGATAATTTGACTTTGAATGATTTGTTTGGGAAACCTTAAAGAATTACTCTATTATAGGAGTTGGGTGAGTAGTATGTAAGTCTCATAACTTTTAGAGTCCATTTTGGATATTTAAGAGCCAATTATAGGAATTGGACTATTTTCTCAATTTTTATGTGTGTTATGCTGATATGACTTCTAAACGATTTTTTTCTGAAATTTTTACGGACCCTCTGCAGGGAGTATGAGGAGCAACACATCTAGTCTCATAATTTTTAGAGTCCATTTTGGACATTTTGGGGCCAATTTAAAGAAATTAGTCAATTTATCAGTTTCTCATATGTATTAGCCCATAAATATTTTAATGATACGATTTTGGACGTTTTTTTTTGTGAAACCTTTATAAAACCTTAACTTAATTTGGGTCATATTTTCAGCTGAAATTATTACACGTGTTAGTGATGTGGTACCACTTTTTGCCACGATGAAATTATTTTTCACGTGTTTATTTTTCAGAGAAACAATATAATACATACTATCACATATTACTTATGTGTGTTTCTCAAATTCATGAATGACATTTTAAGTACGTTTATAAACTTTCAAGTAATTTAAATGTGAAACTAAAAAGAAATATGTGTATTTTTGACATTTTACTTTTTAGCTTTATGTATTTTTTATAAGAACATTTTAAATGTACATAATAAAAAATACAAAAAAAAAAAGCACAGAAAAGATTTTTACAAGATTTTTCTTCATTTCAAATTATAAATCCGTCCCTAAAATTACATAGAAATTTTAAGTACATATAAGAATTTGTACACTTATACCATCCAATACAAGGAAAGTGAGTTCGAAAGAACTCATTAATGTTACTCAAACTTTATATTTATACATAAATTAATTTTTTTAGAATTCAATAAGTTCATATTCTTAAAATAAAATCAAAAGTTCATAAATTTTAAATTCCAACTAAAGGCTCTGATTCAATACCGCACCTTTTACAAAACTGCCCCGGTTTTTCCTTATTCCGTTATCATGGGCTGTGGTGGCGGGGGTACCAACGGCTCTGTAAATCAACAAGAAAATTAATCTACTGTTAGAAATCATCTATTATATTAAGTCGATAAGTATGAAAAATAATTATAATAACAAATTTCGTATTGTCGATGACTAGAATTTGGTATAGGTAAAGGATATAAATTAACCGGGATTTGTCTATTACTACGACCTTTGTTTAAATTCATATTTGTTTCGAAATTAACAGATGAGAAGTTTAAGCTCCTCGATTCGTTTCTCACGCATCATGATAAAATAAGAAATATTACTAGAAAATTGAGTGTACTAGTAGTAATTTTCTTCATTATATTTTGAGTGGAATGTATTTTTGAGATATATGGATTGTAGACTTGTAGTTGAAAGGAAGAAGACTTATAATTTGGGAATTGTTAATATATTACTTTATAATAATCATACTTTTTAAGTTACGCGTTGTTGTCATAAGTTTTGAGTCAAACCATTAGTGTGAATGGAGGATAAAAAAGACAAACAAATTGTGCACTACTATCATATTCTTTTGTAATGAAAAAATTAGGTATTTAGACAAACATATGGTAGGTATGTACAATTGAAAAAAAAAAACATTGCATTTAAAGTTTCAAACTATTAATCATCAAAATTAATAAGGTGCAAGGCACTATTGTTTGTAGCAAGAAGAGAAGTATGACCTTTTAGTTGGTGTTACTTTCTCGCTTTTCATACCGGTCTATGATGTCTACTGATTATTTATTACAATCTATATCTGTTTTCTTGATGTAAATCCTAGTGGTAGTCATCAGTGTTGATTTGGGCCTGGTTGTGGAGATTTTCGGAGATTGAGGTTGAGCTGATGGTGTCCTAGTTCAATTTATCTCTTTTTTGTATATAGTTTTTGGATATCATTTTATTTTCGAGAAAAGTCTATATTTTTGGTCCAATTCTAAGACTTGTATAGTAACTTTGTACTAATGTCCACTAGGTCGTGAGTTCGAATTTTGTACCTCTGGCTTCGTAGATATTATTGTTCTTCTCTTTTTCGTTGTGTATCTTGTGTTAATGCTAAAAAGTTTCTCGTTAATTATTAACTATGCATGTTACTCGCTGTTCTGGCATATACATCGACTTACCTACTCATGAGTTAAGGTATGTGATATCATGAATCGAGTTTTCGAGTCGTGATGTCTATATATATATATATATCACCAAAAATGCACATACACTACTTATACCGTGATATATTTTCTTAAAAATAATTCAGAATTATGAATTAACTCAAATATATGTTGTTTAAAAATTATATTTGAAGTTAGATTATTTCAGATTCGCACCGCGTAGCATCTCATGTGGAGGGAAGAGCCCCGTACCAATTTCTTTTTCATACTTAAGGCTCAAATTCGAGACTTCTTATTAAGAAAAGAGCAGTCTCATTCACGATATCACTTTAATGATCATATTACAATTATTGTTAATGAACTTGTTAGGCATAATAATTCAACAGAATTAAATTCATCATATTATCATTATGGTGCATTGGACTCGAAATTAGTGATGTACCATGTTGATGCGATGAGAACTTGTAATATTGTGTTAAGTTAGTGTGATTATTTTATGTGGATGTGTTTCGATTTGATGTAAACGACTATTGAAGAAAAAGTGTTGGTCTGCTTTGTTAAATATTTCTTTATGTTTGCATAATTTAGGAAATACATAAATCGTAGGGGTGAATTTTTATATAGCTTCAAAGGGCACAAATATGTTACCTTCATGTATATATATATTTTTTAAATTGCTATAATATTAAAGAAAACAATGGATAGAATTTTCATTAATTATCATCGATAAAAATTATTTAAAAATAATATATTTTTTTAAAAAAGGAATTAAACTACAAAATCATCAAATCCAGGATCAGCCTTCTTCCTTATTTCACGATCATTGGAGGTGGACTTATAAATCTGCATTAAACACAAAAATAATAATTTAATGTTAGAATTTTTCATTAAAAAAAGTACATTCTTCGTTTTAATTTATTTATTATTTTTCAATTCTTGACAATATATTTAACTAATATTTAAAGCTAGTTAAATGAATTAGATCAACGTAACTTTTTTAAAAAATTAAAATTTAGATATTCAAAAAAAATATCTATGCGTACTGATGAGTATTAGTATTTGGCATTGGAGAAGGATTGGGTTTGAGTGTCTGCCTGATGCTGCGGCCTCGCACCTGACTCGTCTCTACGAAATCGGACAAGTTTAATATCCTCGATTCGCTTTGCATACACAATGATAAAGTAAGAAATATTACAAGAAAATTAAATATACTAGTACAAATTTTCTTCATTTTTTTTCCTTACACCTTATATGTCACACAAAATTAATGTTTGTGTTAAAATTGAGAAAATTGGGTTTGTTTGAGATTTGATATTTTGGAGTTGTAATTTATATACATTTTTGTTAAAGTATCCATTTGGCCATTTTCATTACGCGTTGTTGGACTTTACCAAATCTATATATTTTGAGTCAAAACACTTAATTTTTTTAATGGAAAATGTATAGTCAAATAAGACAACCATAGTTGATATTCATAAATTATGAATTATCGGCGTAAAGAAAATAATATTATTTTAAGAGACTGTTTGTTTGAACTAGGAAGAAAATTATGACCTGTGTATAAAATCGAATCAAATTGTAAATTGAGTCAGGTGAAAAAAAATTAACTAATAATTTGCTTTGACTTGATTTGATAATTAATAAAAATACGATTATATTTGGATTGGTGTGGACCTGAGACCAACCTAACTGACATTATTTATATAATTTCTTTTGAAAAAAATTATACATAAAAATATTTACTTTGATGTAATTTCTAAATATTACTTATACATTTTCATAAGTCTTAACGTATTTTTTCAAGTTTTTTCAAACTTATAATTTTGAATGTTCTAATAAAGGTTATAGTCCATACATATTAGTAACTCTTATAAAGCTTAATCCGAAATCAAATTTATAGTAATGCTAACAAAATAAATTAATGTAACGCTAAGAATGACAATAATATTGAATATTTATTTTTTAGCTTACTGATTTAGACATTTAAAATATATAATCTAATTTTAATTTTACTTTAATGTTTAATTATGGAATTAATACTTCTTAGACTTATTTTAGTATGATTTAATACTCATCTCATGTTTTGTGTTATTTTCTTAAGAAACACCTTAGATAATTGTATTTTGATTGGACTGAAAGAAATATATAAAACACAAGTTAATTATATATTTATATGAATACTTTGCCGGGATAATCCAAAAACCTGGAAAAAAAATATTAGGTTTATTAGTTTGGTTTGATTTAAAAGTTCGACATAAATTATTTCGTTTGGTATTTGAAAAACACACCAATCTGAAAAAATACAATGTTGAAAAATCTGAAAAAATCTAGATTTTATTAGTTTGATTTGAATTATAAATTTAAACTTTTTACATAAATAATTTAATTTAATATTTAAAAAATCTAAATCAATGTACAACAAGATAAGGTGCCAATGGTTTGCTTTTATACGTTATTTTTAAGAAATATATATATCATATACTAATTTCTCGTTTAGTCAATCATATAAGAAATTTACTTTCATATACTTCTTACTTTATTCCTTTGAATTGCTTATAAATAGTGATATGATTTTCTACTTGAATCAATACAAAAATCAATGCATAATATAAAGAATTATAATTCATTCTCACCATAATTTCTTTCTAGCATAATTTCCTTGATTTCGTAATCGAAATCTCTAACTAATTAAAAATAGAGCAATTCAACTATCGAAAACGAGAAACAAAGGTAAATACACAGTAAAAAAAATTACTCAATAATCTATAACCTCTGCGCGCCACCTGGCCCAATCATAGTAAAATATCCAACAAATTAAGCATTCAATTATTGGTTCTTCACAAGCTCCCTTATTAACTTATCAACGGTGGTGGAGTATAGTCACTGCGTAAACAATAAAAATGTAAATATGTTAGATAGATCTATGATAAAAGAGTAACCAAAAAAATAATTTTAGAACGATGAATAAGTATTTCTTATCAAAAATTAGATGCATACACATGATCACGAGTATTTGTTGTTGGTGAAGGGTTGATAATAATCGGAGTTTCACGATTACTGCGACCTCGTATAACACCTTTGAATGTAGTTGAAGATAAGTTCTCCATGTCCAAAAACACCCTGGCTTCACTTTGTAGACACCATGATATAATAAGAAAATTTATAAGAACAATATAGAAAGTATAAGGAATAGAAACCTTGTTCATTTCTTGATTACAAATTGTCAATATAATCATGTATAGAAGTAGCTAGATGTGCTTGTTATATATAATAATGTTTATGGTCACATCACACACAACACACACACACACACATATATATATGTATTAAATTAAAATATCAACATCATTTTGTGTTGTAGTTCACTTGCCTCCCATAACTTTTACCAATTGATCATGATGTCATTGGTTGGAAAAAAGGATGTTTATTTTTATGCTATATCTCAAAAAAAATACATAAATATGTTCTTTAATTTAAACTCAGTTTATATTAAGATTTTTGAATTTGAGTTGCGCATAAGTAGATATTTAAATTTGTATAAAGTTAAATAAACACACACGTTCTACGTGACATCCTACATGACAATTTCATCCTACGTGATGTTTGATGTGTACTATGTCACGTAGGACTTATGTATCTATTTCTTCAACTTTATACAAGTTAAAACGTTTACGTGCATACCCAAAATTGAAGTGCATAAATGTGAAATAAAACCAAGTTAAAAAACACATTTATGTATTATATTTTTTTAAAATTTGAATTGTAAATACGCAAGAGACCTCACTTTTTCGAAATGATTTGGTATTTTTGTAGTCTTTTATAAACTTATTTTTAGTTTATGTATTTTTTATGAAATATTCTTCATTTTTTTAACATAAATATTTTTTTAAAATATCAAAAAAAAATTCTATTTTATTTGTAAATAATCATAATAGATCATTTCCACAATTTCTTTTTAAGTCATTTTGTTAATTTTTTTTTTAAAAAAAATTTAGACCCTACTAACTTTAGTGTACCCTAGACTTTTTGAATTTTGAAGTCCCTACAACATGCATAAGTTTGATTTTTGTTTGTTTGAGAAAAATAAAAGCTACGCGGTTTTGATTAGTTCTTTTGCATGTACGTTGACATATTCCATTGTCTCAGTAAACTAAATAATATACTGTTAATTAATTTAACAAAATTATTTGAAGTAATAGAACTCTTTCAAAGAACAGGCATGAAAACATATAATCAAGATATTGCTTGCCTTCTACAGATTAATTACTTCCTCTGTTCGCTTTTAATTGTCATAGTTCTAAAATTCATTTTTAATTGTCATAGTTTTTTTTAGAGTCAAACGATAAGAATTTTGATAAGCATTTTACTAAAATGTACTTTTTCATAATATTAATATGTAAAAAGTTGCAATTTATAGTACTTTTTGTATAACTTGTGAATATCTATTTTTTTTGTTTAAAATATCTAATTAATGTAATCTAATTTAACTTTAAAAATTAATCAAATTAACTTTCGAAAAATGCGACATAAACAATAAAAAATGAATGGGGATAGTGTAACAACCTGAAAATGACTTTGCTAAGTAATGCTTTAACGTACCTAGAATGCCTAGAATAGACCGCGTTCACACGAATTGATGCGCGTGGAACCAGACCTCTAAACCTATGCATCAGCCAAGCCAACCAACTTAGTGAGTTAGTTGAGTTAGGCAAGGTTGGGTCCAGCCATGTAGGACACCTGAATATTAAGATTCACCCGGATGAGTCTTAACCGGACTTGAAAGGGGTAATCTTAAGTTTGGAGGATCTAAGGGTAAAATGGTCTTTTTCAGGCTAAGAATAGTATTGTAATTACCCTAAATATTTAATTAAGTAATTAATTAATGAAAATGGTGGACAATTCGGGTGGGATTGACCCATTTTCGCGAGTTAGGCTTCATCCGGGTTCAATCCTTGGTGAAAGCAATGTTAAATTGAATTAATTAATATTAATTATCTGATTTAAGTAAGGGCGTGATGAGTAATTTCACCTAAACCTTAAAAAATAGATTTTTAATTAATAAATAACAAGGAGTCCTAGTTTGACTAAGTCTTCAACTAAAACTCCTACACTTTCTCTCATCTCTCTCCATTCTCATTCTCACGACTTTCTCCACTCTCTTCTCACGTTATTTATCAGCAAAAAAAACAAAAAAATCAAAGTTCATCACTTGAAGAACTTGCACACAAAAACTCAAAAAAAAGAAGCTAAACTAAAAACGAAAAGCAAATACATTGTTCTTGACGGGTTGTGCTTAAAGTTTGATGGTGAGGCTTTGGTGTCGTGGAGTTGGCTGCCATTGGATCGATTTGAAAGGTGTTAAACGACGAAAAAAATGTATGGATTTTCTTCCTCTTGGTCCCTTTCCCTAGAGACCCCTAAGATTCAGTCGAATTCTAATCCGAAAACTAGGAATGTTCCCCTTTACATGTCCCTGTCACTAGCTCCCAACGAATTTGTAGGTTGGGTATGTTTTGCTAGTAGAATTTAGAGATGTGATGTGATTTCGTGATGATTATGTTCAATTATTCTAAGCATGCTTTTCAAAACTATGTGTTAAACGTGTGTGTATGCATTGTGTATGTCGTGGCTTTGGTCATGGGTTGAAGTGTGTAATATGCATGTTAATTCTTGTGTTTTGTATGCAATTACTAGAAGTAAATCGTGATGTTCATAAGTGGTGTAATGTTGCTGAATTGAGTGAAAATCTTGATCAAATGTAACCACGAAAATGCACAAAATAAACGTACAATATGGCTAATGAATTGTCCAAAAATCTAATGTATAAATGTTGAGGAAATGGACTGGAAAGTGTGATCAAATTTTCAGATTTGCTGGAAATTTGGTTCGGCCAAGTTACTGAAAAAATTGAGTTTTTTTTTTTAAAAAAAAGTATGAGGTCATTGGGATTAAACCCAATACCTCACCATATGCAAACTATTAAAAATTCAATAATAAAAATTAGGTACGGGGGATTCGAAATGGGGTAAGTCTCAAGTGAAGGAATGTGGGGATCGAACCCACAACCTCTTCGATAGGTTAGGGAGATAGGAGAAAAATGAAAGAAATTAAATAAGGGGTGTGGGAATTGAACCCACAACCTCTCGAATAGGTGAGGAAGTTCGGAGAAAAATTAAAGAAAAAATAAAATGAGGTTGTGGGAGATCGATCCCACATCCTCTTGGTCTCAATCGAAAAAGAGAGGAAAGAAAAAGAAAGGAAAAAGAAGTGTAGGTGTTGGGATTCGACCTCAAGTCTCCAAGATGAAAAATATATGTTCGTTAATGAAGGAAACGCTTCATAAGAAGAAGAAGAAGAAGAAGAAACGCAGCTAAGAAGAAGAAGGAGAAGAAAGTATTGTATAT